GGCTGTAATTATACCGCGCCGGGCCCGGAGCCGGCGGGCGGGGGAGCGCGGGCCCGAGCGGGACCCACGTTACTTTGATTGACAGCCCGCGCCGCCGCCGCGCGGGAGCTTCTGGGGATCGTAGTCTTTCCCGAGAACCCCAGCTGCACTCCAGACCGCGCGCTCGGGGAAACCGAGGCACAAGGCCCGGCACCCTCCCCATGCCCACCCACACACAGGCCCTATTCCCCCCGATCTGACCTTCTGGGAACAAAACTGAGCCCAGGGCAGGAGCCTCCAGGCTCGGCTCAGAGTCTCAGTTCTTGCCCCAGCGTCCAGTGTGACTCAACTTCCCTTTGTCTCAGTTTACCCATCTGCAAAATAGGGCGAAAGGCGCTTCGTGGGCCTCGCCAGCGGGCCAGGCTGTTGCAAGGTACCATATGGAACGAAGGGCTTTTGTTTTAAAGGGGTGACTCGCTTCCCCTCGTTTTTGGATAATAAAGGAGCCGGATCCCCCCATCCAATCCGGCCAGGCTCCGCCATCCACGAGGGGCCCAGCTTCCCCAAGGGCTGGGGAGCCGCGCTCGCCCTACCCGCGCAGGAAGCGCCTAGCCGCCTTCCGATTGGCCCAACCGATCCTACCGCCTCTTGCCATTGGTTGCCAGATCCCTGTTCCTCCATTGGCCAGAGCCCATTGTGACGTCACGGACCCATGTGGGACCGCTTCGTGCGGATTGGCTGGCGCGCCCGACCAACCAGCGCGGAGAAAGGAATTTCCACAGTAGCTGGGGCGGCGAGGCTGATTTAAGGTGGTCTGAGCAATCCGAGGTCCCAGCGCTGCTTCTCGGCTTTTTCCTTTAAAAAAAAAAAAGGAAAAAAAAGAAAAAAAAAAAACCCACATCCACATCATAAAATCCCAGCCAGGAACCTGGGGCTGAGCCTCTCTGCACGGGGGGAGGGGCGAGACCCGAAGCTAAGTTCCTTTCCCCATCTTGCAGCTTCTCCCCGCAAGTTGCAGATGGGGAAACTGAGGCCCAGAGAGAAGTGCAATGCGAAACCCTGGGTGGCAAAGGGGAAAGTCTTCGCTGTGACATAGGGGGGGTTGAGCTCCATTCTGCCCAGGCTGTAACTCACGCCTGGAGGGTTATTTTCTTCCTTCCAGCTCCAGCTGGATGTGGCATTTGGGGGAGTTATGGAGTGACAGGCTGCCAAGGGTCCCCCAGCATCTCTCAGACTGCTGTGGGGCTGAGCCTCCCCCAAAATCCACCCGCTGCTGCTCAGGGCAAAAGCCCCTCCTTCCTGGCAGATCACACCCACCACGAGATGGAGCCTCTGTGTGTGTGTGTGTGTGTGTGTGGTGTGTGTGTGTGGTGTGTGGTCTGTGGCTTCCCGGGCAATCCACAGATTTGAATCTGCCCTGTTCCTGTGGAGTGTGCCTGGCTGAGGGGTCTAAAGAATGGGGAGTGAAGATCCCTCCTCCAGGAAGCCACCTCTGAGTCACCAAGCAGAGCCCCAGGTCCCCTCCCTGGGCCCCTTCAGCCTTAGGAACCTCCTGTCCTGGCACTGACCTTGGGCTGGGTGGCCCTGGGGGGTGAGAGTTCAGCTCTGTCTCTCCCACCTGCCCTGGGAGCCCCTCCCTGGCGAGGCCTGGGGCTGGGTCCTCTCCAGGGCACCAGCATCTTCCGGAGTGAGAAGGTGGCTACAGCATAAATATCCATTTATCTCCCGACGTCAGGCGGCCTGTGTTAATGTTGGGGGGTGCCGTGGGCAGACAGGAGGCTGGGGCATGACACTTGGAGGAGATGTCTTTTGGGGCTGTGACTTGAAGGAGCGCACTTTCTCCAGGCAGCAAAGGAGAGGGAGGGAATTCCAGAAAGAGGTAACAGCCCAAAAAAAGGCCCAGAGGTGGTGGGAAAGGACAGGAATTAGGTAATCCGGCCACCGTGGCTGGAGCAGGGAGCCAGGTGTAGACCAGCAGAGGGAGGTGAAGCTGGCAGGGCTGGTATCTGCAGGGCTGCCAATGGCAGCCTGCAGAGCTGAGAATTGGTCCCCTGGGCAGTAGGGAGCCATGGGAGAGTTTTGAGTGAAGGAGGGCCAGGCTCGAATTGCAGGTCACAAAAGCAAGGTCTGCTCAAAGGACGGAGGTGGCTTGTGGCTCAGACGGGAGGGAGAGAGGACAGAGGGCTGGCCCTGGTCTGGGGAGGGGGCTATGGAGGTGGGAGGAGGTTGCACAGCAGGTGGCAGGGAGATAGGAGGCCAGGCTGAGACTCTGGCTTGGACTGTCAAGGCGCGCTGTATATGGCCTGCTGGGGAAGGAAAATGCTGAGCCTTGAGGGTCTGGGGACATCTAGGGGAGATGCCCAGTTGGTGGCTGGACCCATGGGGCTGGGTCTCTGGGTGGAAACCTGGGGTGGAGCCAGAGCCTGGAGCCATCCTCATGAAGGTGACCACTGAAGCCTCCAGGGGGATGTGGTGTCTCAGAGCCTGGACAGCCAGAGGTGTGGGCCACAGTGACATTCAGGTGACCGGGCTAAGGAAGGACAGAGACCTGTGCACAGAGAGGAAGGAGGGTGGCCAGGGCAGGACACACCAGGGAGGAGGTGAAGCTGCTCTGAGGTTCCAGAAGGAGCCCCTGGGCTGGGCACGGTGGCTCCCACCTATAATCCCAGCACTTTGGGAGGATTGCTTGAGTCCAGGAGTTGTAATCCAGACCAGACTGGGCAATATGGCAAGACCCCATTTCTACAAAAAATAAGAAGGAAAAAGAAGGAGCCATTGAATTTGAGGAGTCAGGAGCTTTGGCCAGTGAAGGCCCAGGAGAAGACACAGGGTGGAAAGGGGGAGAGGAGGGGGTGCCGCTGTTTGCAACTCACGTTGTCCTCTCAGGGGACTTCGCAACGCCAGGAACCTGGCATCGAGATCCCTTGGCAGTGTGGAACCGTGGAGCTCCCTGTTTCTTAGAATTTCCAAGTCAGTGATTTCTGGTTTTCGCTGGACCAGCTGTTTCTTCTCCTCTCTCCGCTGCCTGTTCATGTATTGAGCACTTACTGTATGCCAGGCTCTCCAGGGACCAAGACAAGCTCAGTCCCTACACAGCCTTAGTGAGGGAGACAAGAATTGAACTACCTCAGAATAAACATATTCATGTAAAAAAAAAAAACAAAACAAAACAGGAGCTAGCAAGAGAGAGAGAGAGAAAATAGGATGGAGTGTTTGAAAATAAGAGGGTGGATGGCGAAAGCTGCTTAAATGGGTGGTCAGAGGGGGCCATGCTGAGGAGGTGACATTTGAGCTGAGACCTGAATGGTGAGAAGTAAGAGAACAGCGTTCTAGGTAGCGGGAACAGCAAGTGCAAAGGTCCTGAGGTTGGATTGTGCCTTATCAATCTCTGACTGCTCCCTAAACTCTACCTCTGTCCACACAAAGAGTTCCCCAGTTCCCAGGTGGCAGCCCTCCCTGGTCTGTTGGTCATCCCCCACAGATTCCGAGAGGGCCACCATCTGTTCTCCACTCACCCTTGTGTTTCCAGGTGCGGGGAAGGATGCCTGCTAGGTAGTAAGCGCTCAGGAAATATCTGTGGGCTGAAAAACAAAGCCTTTCCTGTCGATAAAGGCTTTTGTATCCCTTCACTCGCTCCCCTACCAACACAGGTCCAAACATTGACACAGGGTTCCACAGTGCATGTTTGTTGATTGACTTCACACACAACCCTGAGGTTTTACTTCTACAGGATGGGAACGAGAACCTTCCCATCTCCCAGGTGAGCATGAGGGAGGCTCCCTGGATGTCTGTGATCTCTGCTGGGGCATGGAGCACTGCCCTCAGAGACTTCGGTGTGATGGCAGAGCTAGGGAACATTCGGAGCAGGGCATGGCTCCTGCCTTCTGGGCACCCGCAGGGTCTCTGAGAGGCGACACAGCCCAGAGCAGCTCTGGGACTTTGCTCTGTGCCGGGCCAGGCTGCAGAGCTGTCCGGGTGCCATCACCCCTGACAGTTTTTGCAGAGAATCCTGAGGCCCTGGGCTAGGCCGTGGAGCCAGCTGTCACCGGCTGCGTCCCTCCCCGGGGTGTTCGCACGTGCTCCCCGCTTCCTGGCAGGTTTCCCTGCCCGCGCTTGGCAAGGCTGCTTCCTCTTGACCCTTCAATCCCAGCCCAATGTCACTTGCTCAGGAAAAAAAGGCCATTTCTGACCCCAGAATGGCCCCCGCCCCGCCAAGCTACTCCCCACGGCTGGGAGACTCGGTGTTGATGTGTTTACTGGCTGTGGTCATCCTGTCCCTTCCGGAGGGGGGACGGGCGCGGACTGGACGCCAGCCTCAGTTTCCCCACCGGCAGATGGTGGATCCCCGGAAGGCCCAGGTTCCCGGCGGGGCCAGGGGGCGGGGGGCGGGAGCAGTGGAGGGGCACACATTGGACGCCGGCCTCAGTTTCCCCGCCGGCCCATGGTGGATCCCTGGGAGGCCCAGGTTCCCGGCCGGGCGCGGGGGGCGCGGGGCCGGGCAGGGGGGGCG